CAGGAAACGGTGGTGCAGCAGCAGCAGCAGCAACCATGAGAAATAAACAAAAACTCACGTTGCCTTTTTTTTTACAATATATTGCAACACTATGCATGCATCGTTTATAAATGCGGTTCTCAATACAATCTATTTATATATTTGTTATGCCCTACTACTCTTGTCGTTGAAACAATCAGGCTCATTGTGTCTTTGCTCACGTCTCGTTATTTTGTTTTTTACTCAAGTGACAACAAACAGTGCCTGTACATGCAGTTTTGTTGTTGTTTTATAATTGACCACGGACCATGATGAGGCCTAATGCCAGGGCCTAATGTAATGTAGATCAACAAGAGCTGTAAATAAATATACTGTTGTTTTGTCTCCAAGAAAACGAGCGGATGAACAACAGAGTTTCGGTGGGCCCTTAATGCCAGTGGCTTTGACAGCTTTCAAGCTGCAGGATGGGCGGGACGTCAGTTAAATTTAAGCAGAGGAGGAAACTCCGTTTGCTATAATTACACGGGCCAGTCCGCTGCTCAATTCCCGGAAAAAAACAATTCAACCCGTTGTGAACAATACTCAAAATATTTACTTCATTAACCGTGCAAATAGAAATAAAACTAGTATCTAAATAGCTTCTAGAGAGGAAGAGGAAGTGCTCTTTAAAGGGCGCGTATTCTCTTGCTGTTTCTCAATTGTGAAATAACAACTAAGCAAACAACTGGAGCAGGCCCATGAAGCGGCCGCAGATTTTTTTGTAAACAGAGTAGACAGCCCAATTTGTTCGCGACATAAATCTAAGCAGCCATAAATACATATTGTTTACGGTGGAAAAATCTGTGCAAATATATACATTCGCATGTGTGTAAAACACGAGTGGCTATCGTTCAACTTCTTAAATAGTACATACAGTTAATTCTGCAGCTGCAAAATGTTCAAATTGTGTATTTTTTTTCGTGGCAAATATTTATTTTTTCTAAGAAAAAAAAGGGCCATATACCATACCCCTCATTTCAACCCTGAAAGAATGTTGGCGTAAGTGCCATTAGCAAACACCTGTTAACGTTAACACGGCAGACAAGGGGATGACATGGCCTGCGCCTTGTCCAGCTGCCGTTGTTTCCCCGTAGCCATTGTTGACTCTACGCGAGGTACTTATTAAGCTGATTTGACCTCGAAAAGGCCAGGATCGTGGCAGAAAAATGCTCTTCAGCACCCCACTGCTAGGCACGCGCGCACACACACACACCCACCTACCACGTGATATTCCATTAATTATTTACACTTCATGCAAAGGAAATATAGCTGCAGGTAATGATTTAGTAATAAAAAATGTCCGTTCCTTTCGTCAACTTGGATGAAGCTTTCATGGTGTGACAGTCCGGCGAATCGCGCGACTATAATTCACCACGCTGGTCGGCACAGGTTAGTGAAGGTGAAACTAAAAAAAAACTAAAGTAAACTTTTATTTTACCAGGTAAGGCCCACTGAGCTCTATAGCTCTCTTTCAGAAGCGACCTGGCTTTCACAAATGAGAGCTCAACGAAGTGGCTTATCACGTGACATGCATAGCAGTCAAATACTCCTCACACACGTTTCTAAAATCTGGAGGGAAAAACCGGAGGACCCGGAAAAAAATCCACGTGACCACGGTGAGAACGTGCCAACGCCAAATACACAGGCGTCGGAGTCGTTGTCGAACCCACGACCTCCTGTATACCAGGCAAGGGCGTTAACATCTCATCACCGAGGTGCCCCAATGTGGGTGGTGGGGACATGGGGGAGGGGGTGCAAAGCTAGGAATCACACTCAGGTCACTGGGTTCATACTGCCCCCCCCCCCCCCCACCATTATAACCGTAGATGCGGAGTATGACAGTGGTGCACAATTTCCTGCTCTTGCAAACTACACCACAGGATCATTAAATACCAGAGGGAAAAGAGTGCACGCCGCTATGTACCACACCTCTGATTAGCACGGTTGGCTACATACGGTGCAAAAAAGACATTCGACGTCGATTTTTATTTTTGCCGGGAGGTCACGTGGCCCTCCGCTGTTGATCCTGCCAGGCAGCCGCAAGTTCAACATTGTGCCAACTTCACTCTGGTGGGCAGCCGCAGTTCTGCCTGCTACAATTGGCCGCTCAAAAGTGCTGCTTGTGAAGACGAGGCTTCAAAACAGCCAGCGTAAAGCGGCATTCTTCCAGAAATTCCTCTCAGTAAGTGCTACACCGGCCATCAGAATGCGGGAGCGTGGAGTGCCAAAAACGGCACCGGCAAGCACCCACCCAATAGGGATCCAGGACCTACAGCTCTGATGTTCTTGGCATGATACGTTATCTGGGCAGCCCTGTGTAAGTGCCGGCGTCTATTAGGAATTTTAATTTCGAGATTTTATAGTTTAATGTGGCCTCTTCTTGCATTAATGAAGTCCTGTGAAGGCTGTATTGGCACAGTTGCACTTGGATCAGCTGTTCTTAGTGCACCCTGCAGTGCAAGCAGAGGATATGAAAGTGCTTTGGGCTTTTCATCTCACACTTTTTTTCCATTCTCCATTTATGCCTAAAAGCTTCCCATTTTTACTTAATACAATTTTTTTATTTTTGCGCGATTTCACCGTATCGTAGTGCAGCATTAGTCACAGGATCGTGCAGTTCAGATCTGGTGGAAATCCACGTGTGGACTGACTGTGACCCGAATCGTATCAGTTACGGGGGTGCTGCTTGACCATTCTTCACCATGCTGGTCAGTGCAGGTTCGTGAAGGGGAGCACCTGGACCGGTTCAGATGAAGAATGCGCACTTCAGAATCACAATCTTGATTTCGACTGGAAGAATCCGATGAGCTATGAGGCTCTTTTTTTTCACAGGTGAACAGTAACGGTGGGTCAAAAAGTTGCAACAATTAATACAAAAAAAACAGGAGCGCAAAGTATAGGAAAGCTAAACAAGTCACTATATATGAGTTAAAAAATAAAGTATGTAAGTACAAGTTGCATAAGTACATCAGTTCCTGCCGATGTTTCAACACCAAATGCAATCTTGGGCAGGCAGCAAAACAAAAGCAGTCCCACACCAAGACAACACACAGTCCCAAAAGAAAATTGCACTTTACAATTTAACTTATCGATACGTGGGTAAGGATCAAAGTTACAAATCACATTGGCAAATGTGGTTGTGCCCGGCGCTACTACCTTCTGCTTCAGAATTTTTTTTCGGAAGAGCTATGATGTTCAGAGATAGAAAATAGGTTTTTGAGACTAATGTTTGAGACCAATGCCTTAGTAGCGGCCAACGTCGGGAAGACACCCAACCAGATGTCCACCATGAATATCGAGAGATGACGGGGGCTTTCATACAGCAGTGGATAGATCATGGCTGAAGATGATTAAAAAAAAATACTATTTACAAGTTGAAAATCGTTTTAGCTGTTGAAAGATGTGGGTTTTTTTTCAAGCAGGGATTTAGACCTATGTCAGATGGCATCTCAACAGAGAGACGCTGCGTTTAACATAGTCAACAATATATGTATTGTATATTGTATTTCTCGAGCGCTATATATTAACAGTAAAACATCATGCATTATCTCTAATCTCGAAAAACGAATCTTCAAACATTTCCAAATGCAAGAACGTCAAAAGCCAAAATGATACATACGATACTGACTCTTTTTTTAATAAAAAAAAATTTGCACTGAGATATTGTCTTTTGTGGTTCAGAGACGTTTAAAAATGCTGCACAGATGGCTGTCATATACATTGTTTTCTTTAAAACCTATGGTTTAAATGAATTGAGTTAGCAAGCAAAATATCTGGTTACACCTGCCACGCATACTTCATGAGGTAAGTCACATCTACGTGTATTTGCTGTACAGTATTTTGAAAAGGCTCATGTTGTTGTAGTAGTTATGGCGGGAGTAACATGTGGTAAGGCCATTGCTGTGGTAATGATATTTATTGCTGTAAGACTACCAGAGCTTAAGTGATTACTGTACATAAGGATAGTGATAGCATCACTATGAATGGACAATCTAGTGATGATGTTGTCACTATTTAAAGCTTTCGTGACTGCAGGGATTCATCTTCTTGGTTCTTTCGGTAAAGTCACGTAGAAGGGAAATAATAAAATCATAAAAATAAAACATAATAAAATAATTCTCACGACGTTTCGGAGACAGCGTCTCCCCGACAGACCTGGTCTTCACCTGAGGACGGCTGCTTGCGTTGTGGCCGAAACGTCGTGAGAATTATTTTATGATATTTTATTTTTATTATTTTATTATTTCCCTTCTACGTGACTTTACCGAAAGAACCAAGCAGATGTTGTCTCTGTTTTGTAAAATGCGTTATGTTCCAACAATGCAACTCAGTGTACGAGGATATGTATGTGTGTAAGTTGAACTTCTTTCGCACCGTACATCGCCAAACCGCGCGCTAATCGGAGGTGCGGTTCATGACCAAATATATTGATAATTGACTACGAGCACATGCGCTCCTTTTAGCTACGGGTAATAATTGAGCTGGCTTCGTGGCATTGTTGGCAGAGCGCTCAACTCGCAATCAATCATCACATCGAGGTGAATGCAGTGAATACGGTCACTCTTTGTATAAACTCAACAGTGCTTGTCCAATGGAAAGGCCAGAATCAATCGTGGGGATTTGGGATATGCACAGCTGTACTCGGGGCCACCGGTGGAGATGAGCGCTGCCAGAATATTTCACGAAGGCAGGAGATGGTCGATGTTTGACTGTTATTACGAGTATTATGATTCCGCTTGTTTACGCAGTAAAGCCTCACTGACTCTCAACACTCTCTTGCAGGAGAGGGCCTGCCAAGTTGTGGCAGTTAGGGTGCGACGTTGCCAGGCGTGATCAATCTTGAGTAATTCGCAAAACTCCACACACAGAGAGAGAGAGAGATCGAACCCACGTCCTTCTGCCCGTGAGGCACAAGTGTTACCAACAGTGCAACCACCCTGCCGCCCATTAGCGGCTTCAAGCTGCGGTTCTCTCCTGCGCAGGTACGACTTTGTGGAGATCCGGGACGGAGCGGACGACAGTGCGCCGCTGCTTGGGAAGTTCTGCGGGAACATTGCGCCCCCGTCGCAGACCTCCTCAGGTGCCACCCTCTTCATCCGATTCAAGTCGGACTATGCCACCCAGGGAGCAGGATTCTCCCTCCGATACGAGATTTACAAAACAGGTCAGTGTCTCGCTTGAGCTGCTTCAGCTCTCTATATATGTCACAAAGGAGCATAAACCGGAACGCAAACTCCGGTCATCCTCATCAGCGGCTTTTGGCTCACCATCGAACAAAGATGGGCACTGCATTGCGCGCTTTGAGATGTGATTCTGTAGCCATCTGGAACACTTCCTTCCGTTTATTGGAGCTGTGCACTTCTAAATCTAGATTGAAAACTCATTTCTTTAGAATTGAGTTTTGCGTTTATTTTGTTGTCCTTCCCCCCGCACCTCCGATTAGCACAGTTGTCTATGTAGGGTGCGAAAGAAGTTCAACATACATACATGCATACATACACTCCTGTAGTTTGAATGCTTTAGCAAAGTTGCACATTTCACAATTCATTTATTGCCGAATCTATACAAAACCACACCCATTCTGCCACAGTTCCTGCCACAATTGTGGACTGGCCTCAAATTTCAGCATTCTGCTGACACTGGTATTCGACCAAAGTGTAAAGACGAGCTCTAAAAGTATCGGGCTCAGTGCATTTAATCAGAGTAGGCAATCAAGCAAAGCTTACAGAAAACACATCACCGTACATAACGCCTTTGCTAAATGCAATAAATCCACGCTATCGAGTGTCATAATGCGTCTGGCCAGCATGGCATAGTTGAACCATATGGCGGGACACCGGGGTCCCATAAGCCCCCGGCTCTCGCATAAACTGCGTTGCGACGTCATTTTATGTCTGTTGAAGGCGAACGACACGGCAATTTATTCCTCTCGACGAGCTCTACACGATGCGCTAATCAGAGTTTCAAAGTTTTGTTTCTTCTGCGCATTCGTCCTCGCTGCTGCGCTCGGACGACGCGACAACAGAACGATCCGCGCCAAGCGGGTCGCGGCGTTTATGTGCGCGGTGGGACGGAGTCGCCAAAAATAAATAAATTACGATTTTGACTTCCGTTTATTCGGGACCCCAGGGTCCCGCCATGAGGTTCAGTTGGCCAAATACCTTCCTGAGTGGGCTCTCGGGAGCCCTCTCTCGTAGAGGCCCTTTCTGCCAGCAGTGACATGAGCAAACGATTGCAGCATTGTGCTTGTATCTCTGTGATGCAATGTGTTCGTTCCTATTCTATAAGAAAGCATGTCCTGTAAACGACCAGTACACCCACAATGCAGTGCTGTGTCGCAATGCAATGCAACGTATATGTATGTTAAACTTCTTTCACACCAGACGTAGCCAACCGTGCTAATCGGAGGTGCGAGGAAGGACAACAAACTAAACGCAGCATCATTACACTGGACATAACACCCGAGCTTTCACAGCGCGACATGCTCTGGCTGTAGGGTACACTGTGTGCTGCACGTGAATTTCGTCGCGATCAAGAATGCTCAGCGCTTATTCATCGTGTGCACAATGGTGCAAAATGGCATGCAAGCTCGTGTTTACAAGCAGATGAGTGATTCATGCCCATGAATGATGTGTGTTTTACACCGCAAAGTAATGGCAGGTGAACGTGACACGCGTTCGTGGACTACACACTTACATATAGGTCGGTGTACAAACCCAGTGTTATGCTCCGTATTGAAGTTCACTCTCGGTATAATGATGCGATATGGACATGATATTACAGTACGGTAAACTGATGTGACTCGCTGCATTGAAAAATTACGACGTGAATGAAAACATTTTAACCGTGTGTATTTGTTTCCGTCTCTCCTAGCTTTTTAAAAATAAAATGTGCACGATGCGGATTTTAGTTTACCTGAGTTACCCCTTTGATTGGCCAGAGTGCAAGACACATGAATGTTGGCAAAACCGAGGGCAGCTGTTTAAAGCATCAAAGTAGTGCCACATTTACTTTTCCCATTTGGCAATGTGTATGAGGGAACTGTAAGTGAACGCACACGTGATCTGTGATTTCTAACCAAAAACAAGAAACTAATTTCATTCGTCAATGACGCTGTGGCCTAAAAAAAAGAACGAAAGTCTAAAATAGGCAATGTTTTGGGAAATTGCATTTCCCCACAGTGCACGCAGAGAGAGAGAGGCCTGAGAGGTCGAGTCCTTTCTCTGTGTGCTGTGAAGAAGGACCATTACCCAAAACGTCGCCTATTATACAATGTTTTTTTCTTTTCAAGGCCACAGCGTTATTGACGAACGTGTCGAGTGGTGTCTTTGTTCGCTGCGCTTGAGCACCACTGGCAACGTAGCAGCAGCAGCGTCACCAAATAATTAGTGAGTTCTAACACTGCGTTTCAGGATTGTTGGCCAGATGATAATCATTGCGAATGGCTCGTGCCTTTTCTGTTCTTTGCACAAAAAGTTCGTTTGTGAAAGTAGCTTAATCGCCACGTAAAGTGTAATTATTGCAAATGGACTCTGTGTTCCTTGTTATTTTTTTGCAGTGACCCTTCAAGCACAACATTCTTAAGTTGTTGTTGTTGTTGCCATTAAACGTCCTCTTGTTTTGTGAATCCTCAAGTGGGATCAGCCACATTTTGTTTGACCGTAATTAAATTCAGATTGCTTTCGGTCACTACGCAGTACGGGAAATAATATCCAACTGTCACGTGTAATTGTGTGGTTTTCATTTTAGTTTTTGTGCAAAAATCCACTGTATGCCAAGCACACTGCTAACATTCACTCCGGACATTAACATAGATTACTTTTTGGTGTTGAAGCTTTTGGGTGGAGTGGTGGCACAGCGCTAGGCGCACTGCGCTAAGACCCCGCCAACCTAGTTTGATTCCCCGATCATGGTTCATTATGAGTGGCAGGTTGATGTCTGACATGGTACTGTCTCCTCGTCGCCAACATGCACTCATCAGCACGGCGAAGGATGTGCACACAATCCCCGTGCAGCGAATGCTGCACTGGGAAGCCACAGCGGTCATTTGACAATTGGCCGTAAATTGTTGACTTAAAGATTTCGTGACTGCAGGAATTCATATTCTTGAAAAACCCAAAAATATTGCTGTAAATTAGTTAAATTTTTTATTTTCACTTCCAACACATTTTGTAATACAGTATAGAAATACGCTCACACAAATGTATGCAAACGTAATGTCTCTCAAATACGCATACATATATTGAAAATGCTGTAGTAAGCATCTGCGAAGGCCAGCTCAACACAAGAGAGTGTTGGTAATGTGGGTTGCGCCGTGCTAAACAATGCATTACGTTTCTCCGACCCAACTCATTAGAATTTGTCAGTACCCATCTGTGTTTGTTTCTAGTCCTAAGCTCGTGGTGGAAATTCTACATTCTCATTTCAGGGTCCAGACCCCCCCCCCGCCCCCCATTAAACAAACACTGCTGACCACCCACAAAGTAGTACTTATTTTACAGATGTCAGAGGGATGATAGACTGACCCAAACCCTTGAACGGGATTTTAACTCGCAAACGTGTGTGTGAGTCAGGCATTCTGCCACGGAGCCATGTGCAGCAAACTGACCGTATTGGTATAAATTATGCAGAACATAGTTTATATGTTTCTGCATGTAAAATAGGCATGGGATTGAAAAAGTCAAAGTAAGAGGGAAACAAACTGATGCAATAAACTAGAAGGGGCTCATAATTTAAAAATCACAAAACAATCTTGCACTGAAATTTAACCAAGCACCAGCATTCAATATTGAAAATATTGTGACAGCTCCCTTAAAAGTAATTATCAGAGACGAGCTTTGTTTTGAATTGTGCAGATGTGCTTTGTTTGCCTGAGACAGGAGTGAGAGAGACGCGTGTGCTCATTGCATCTGCGCGACATTTCTTTCCCACGCAGACGAATGCTCCAATACGTTTACGACGCCCAATGGAACGCTGCAATCACCCGGATACCCCGAACCTTACGGCCACAACTTGGAGTGCACCTACATCATCTCTGCTCCGCCACAGTCTGAGATTGTCCTGCGATTCCACGTGTTCAGCCTGGAGGCTGAGCCGGCTGCCCAACCAGATGCCGAGTGTCGATTCGACCGACTGGAGGTGTGGGACGGGCTGCCGCACGGTGAGTGCCTCGGTGGCGAGATGTTAACTCCCTCGCCTGGTATGCAGGAGGTCATGCGTTTAGAGTATTTGGCTGCAATCCATATCCACATGATAAGCCACTTAGTTAAGATACCATTTGTTGCCAGGTCGATTCCGATAAAGAGCTATATAGCTCAGCTGGCCTTACCTGATAAAATGAAAAGTTAAGCTTTAGTTGTTTAGTTTTCGAGTGACGAGCGGTGAGCCGGGTACCCAGGTCTTGGTGGTTTTCCCATGTCAACACCATTTGCCACTGCCGAGGTCAAACGCAATGCGTGCCGACTGGCGTGATGATTTGGGTCAGGGCAACTTAACGCAATGATGAACATGGCAGCGATGTCGTGCTGCCTCTTTCAACTAAAAGGCGTGCTTCATGTGTCATATTGACTGGTGGTTCAGTGCAGCGGACGCGATATTTAGGGTGCATTCAGTTGCACGCTCATTTATAATAACTGTAGGCTGCGGTCTGAATCGCCTTGCTTAGCATAGTTTAATGCGACGCTTAGTATTTGTCGGAATATATTTATGTAAAAGAGAGCAACTACCATGTTGAGATATTGAAAATTAGATGTTTAATTCTCAATCTGCAGTGTAAAGCTGCCTATGGTTGTAGCTTCTTTTGATATGTACTGCATTAACATCTTCATTTCATACACTGAATGGTAAATTATGTTACGGAGTCAAGCGTGCAATTTGTATTGTAAGGTAATACTTAATTCTGCAATGATGATGTGTTTATGTATAAGTCGTGCACTGTAATGCAAAAAATGCAAAAGAAGAAAATGGTAAGATTCAAATTTGTAACACAAAAACTAAATCTGTAACATGAAATCTAATTTCTAACAAAAGAATTGTGCCGGCCAGAAAACTATAAGTTTTACCACAATGCAGTCCTTTAGGAACTGCTGATGGTTTTTACATTACGCACACACGCTGAGTGCTTTTAGTACACGTGTGTGTGTGTGTTTGAAACTAACAAGACATGGCACAGACAAATGCATTACGAATGCAGACTTTTTTTACACTTATCGGTATGTATAATGTTTAGGAGCACGGTTTTTGTTAATGCGATGTAATGAAGTGCCCAAACTTGATGCATTTATTATTCCCACAAGGGACCCTGGCAAGACGCCGGTGTGCGCATGGTTCAATTGTCAAATTCACGCGGCCTTTATGCACACCACATTGAGCCTCATGCAATGCGAACGGTGCTCAGGGCTGACTCAGCCCTCCAGCAGAAATACAATTCTGATCACTCGTGGTGCGATAATTTAATATACAAACTTGGCCCTTTCACATGCCTCTCCCTATAGCTTGCTGCAAATTTTGATATAATTCCTTATTGTTTCGTGGACTAAGGAAATCGTGTTTGGTTTGGGAGAAATATAGAATAATCGAGTTAGATGTTGCACGTTTATGAATATAGGGCCCAACATGTGGTGGTGACAGCACAAAGAGAGATGCAGCCACAATAGCGTTTCCCTCTTCCTGCCCCCTCATTCTCTGGCCTTGGGATTTATAGAAAAAAAAAGGTCTCAGTGCATTAACCGAACATAAACACATACCAGGCCTCTCGAATGCATGTCTGTAACGGCGTTTGGCGTCTCGCTGCAGCGTGCCAGTTCTGGTTCCCCTTCCTTCAGGCTTCCACGTTAATTCCACACAGCATCAATCATATTCCACTTCATAACAGACTTCATGAGAACGCTTGCCACACTGGTCAACGACGCTACGAGATTGGGAAAGCACCGCGATTCGGACCGCAAAGCAAAAGAGCGTTAAAACTTTTGCGCACGAGCCTCCATCTTCCTTAATTGTAGGCACATGCTCACGCACTGCCCAGCCAAGGCGCCACTTTACACCCCGCAGCCCAAATAGCACTGGGCAGCGGCAAGGCACAAATGAGCCATTTCCTCTGCACTAACACCCTTCCCAGCCTGCACGGATAGAGTGGCCACTTGCCTGCCTGCGTGTGTGCGGCGGGCCCCTCTGAGTGCCCCTAAATCACACTGCGTTGCGCGCCGAGGGGTATCGGTATCGTATAGATCTGGGTCAGCTGTTGGTGGATATTTAAAAGGGCCCTTCGTGTCAATGAGGCGTGGCCCCAAGGTGCATGAAATGTTAGACACATGGGAGCATTGTAATTCCCCCAAACCAGCATACATACTTTGATAATCGTTGCCTTCTCCAAGAGGGCAATGGCGTGAGGTTAGTTTGACCGGTGACCCAACGCACAGTAACTCTTCCCCGAGTGAAAATCAAAGGGATCAAGTGTTGGTGCAGCTTAGCTGTTAAATTAATGTACCGGCGGTTCGTTTATTTTGTTGTACCAAAATACACAAGGAGTCTTGAGGAATGTAAAGAATATCACGCCGGCGTTAAATGCGTACGTCAAAATAATAGTCGAGACAAAATTCGTGTGCATCACGCAGAAAGCTGTAGCGCTAACTGAAACATCGATAAAAATACTACGGCCAAGTGAAAGTCTATCCCCCCTCACACACGCTCTCAATCTCACTTTAGCTCAAGACAAATCACTTAAGTGCTGCGAGACGAATGAAACAGTATCCCCCATTTGCAGTTGCGATTATGCAATGTTTTACAGCCACGCCACAGTTGCCCCCACGGTAGCGGGACATTTACAAGTTATTGTGTCGACATTTTCGAAGACTACCTAACAGCATAATCAACTGCATGCTGCGTTGGCCCGTGATATGGGATCATCAGTGCAGTGATGATGTGCGGCCTAAACACAGGATATGGATCCTTGGCGATTATTGACGTCTTGACCCACAATCTGTTTTCAAACTGATGGGTACGTTCGCCTATTGAAGAGGATGCTAGCTAGAATAACAAATACTGAGGATGTGTCCGTTTTTTCTATGCGAGCAAAGGGGAAGGTCACGAGGTGCGATGCCACCACACGTCACCGTCCCTTCCTTCCTCGCGCTCGACGTAGCAGCTGTGTTCTGACCTCCCAGCGTCTGCTCCTAAAGTATCCCACCATTTGGCTTTATGCCTTTCCTTTGGCCACGAACCTCCGTATCTCCACTCACAATGCCAGTCACGGTGAACTGCCATCCTCCTCCGTTCTCCAACACAGAATTCCACTCATCTCACAATTTCCTTCATTTTCCCGATTGCATCGATAACCAGGTCCAAAGCCAGTCAAGATTTCGTGTGCAGGCACTGGATGACATGAATGAGTACAGGGTAGCAGTGGCATATTGCTGTAATTTGTGAGACGGGGCTGATGTTGGATGACATGGCTTTCGAGGGGGGGGGGGGGAATACACCCCCACCCCCGTCCCCTCCTACCACATTAGCGGCCTGCCTAGGAAACTGTCTTGTCACATTTGAGTTTCTCTCCAACACTTTAATATTCTAACCCGATTACAAATAGTGTTCCATTACTGCTTGGTGGTTCTCGGTGGCTGCACTCGTGGTTCCTCTACAAACTGCGTTTCGCAGTTGAGTTTCCTTTAGTTTCACTGCTGGGAAATGTTCAGCCTTTGACGCTGCTGGCTGGGCCAGGCTGTCGCATACACATTCCAGATGCACTCTGGTAGGCTTGTACGTTACTGAAGGTTTTCTTATGAGACTGTGCAGTCCAAATGTGTTCTATTCCACTGCAGCCGGGCAATGCTTTCGCTTAGGAATCGATTCATAATCAGATGGTCGTGAGTTGTATGTCAATGAAAAGTAGAATCAAACTTTCATTTCTACGAGGTTACGTGGACATGTACTGGTCCCCACCATTGGAATGTAACATTCCAAAACCAGGCTCAAGACATGTCAATGGAGATGAGTCCGACCCAAATGCGAGTTTGAACATGTATGTATGTTGGACTTCTTTAGCACCGTACGTAGCCAACCGTGCTAATCGGAGGTGCAGGGGAAGGGCAACAAACTAAACACAAAAAGCAGTTTTCAAGAAATAGATTTTCCGTCTAGATTTAAAAGGGCATATCTCCAGTGGCTTCCTCATATCGAAGGGAAGAGCATTCCAGATGGCCACAGAAGCGCATCTAAAAGCACACGATGCAGTTACCGTCTTTGTTCAATGGCCAGCCAAAAAGTCCCTGCGAGGATGAAGATACATCGGATTTATTTTTGCTTTTAGGTGGCACATTTTGCAGAATTTAGTGGCTCGCATTATAGTTGAGGCGATTTATGCAGTTTTAGGCTTACTTTTTAATTGGTTCAGTGTATTTCTAATTATTTTTTGATAATATATAAAATATATCATTTATGTGATTAATTGTCGTAGCCATTTTGTGTGAGTATGAAATGTAATCTCAATAGTGCTGTAGGAATTAAAACTGTTGAGTAATGCGGAAATAGGACCAACGTAATTTTTTTCTCAGGTTTTATGCTTTTTATGCAATGCTGTTTACATGAAGTAACACTTGTATTGTAGCCATTCTACACTCAATATCATACATAAAAAAAATGTATGATATTTTTGATTGTCCTATGGCAAAAATTATTGTAAACTTAAATAGTCTGTGTTACTGACAATTATGATTAGTACAATTATGCACCAAAGCAACTTAGCAGCTTGGAATTTGTTCATTAAATTATTAATTGAATATTTTAATTAAAGGATTTCACATGAAACCTTGCATCGGGTTCAACAAAAGCACGATTTTGGTGTGGAATTTATTGAAAGTGGCTTGTGTTGTTCATTTATTCATAGAACGTTATCACACTTTGCGTATTCCGTAAATACCGGGTGGCGTTATCGAGCAAGCTGTTCCCTTTAAGTATCAATCTCTTCACGCTCACACGAGCAATGGGTGGTGCTCATTTCTGTCAGTCGGCAAAGCCGGTCAGGGGAACCAGATATCCTGCAGAGTATTTGTTACATCATTTTTTTTTCTCGTGGCCAAAAATGTGCAGGCTTCTCTCACAGTTCACAAATTACAAAATTGAATATTTCCAGCAATTACAGAATAATTATTACACAAATGCTGGCAAAAAACACGAATTTCAATGCATCTCAAGGGGGTTGAACTGCAAATAATTATAATGCATTGGAATAAAGTTGATGTGAACAAAAATGCATCACTGTACCACTAAACCAACGTTGCTATGTCTCACCTCACCTTTCTCCACAAGTCTCTGCGTGTGTTTTCCGACTGTAAGCGACCTAAAGCTCCAAAGCCTTGACAGTGCTCTCTGAAATCCGGTCAGAATACTGAGCATCGCATCAAGGCCAACTTTACGTGGGATTTATTTCGATTGCTGTTATTCCTCACGTCCCGTGACTGTGGATTTGTTTTATAACCACCTGTTGATAGCACTGACTGTTTGACATCTTTTCCAGCCACTGACCATCACAGTAAGACGAAACATGTATGCAAAGCAGTCATTACAATAAGTGAAGCTTTTGTGAAAGTTGTTTTTACCTACGTGACCTCACTACAATGTTACAGTACCTTTGTAGCTACTAGAGGACACCATCTGTATGTCTGAGTATCAGTCATGTCACCTTGATCTAGCCACTGACCTTAAACTGCGAAAGGTACACGATTTTAAAGTGCTTCAGGAACATCATCAACGTCTGTGACATGCTTTTACTAAAGTTTCATAGCATGTGCATTTATTGAAAATGATCCCTCTTGTGTTTGGCTGAATGAATAGTGACGGTGCAAGTCTACGGCCAGATCAATTAGCCAGGAAATGGCTTCAGTTCATGTTCAGTGACTGAGAGTAATGGGACTGTTCTATAAATACCCGGCACTTGCTGATGAACACAGGTAGATATAATATGCTGTAATTAAGAATACAAAAAGTTTAAAAAATAATCTAATATTTTACCATCATAGTATGCCATCCACATATGTGATAACTTTAAGGCCATGCTATCTAAAGGAGATTATGAGCAGATTCACTCCGTCAGCCTGGCTTCAAACTATGGAAAGAGTTCGCATCTTCCATGTCTTGTGGAGTAGAACAAGACGGTAATTGTACAGCAGTCTAACCTTTTTTTACGAGGGATTATTAACACAATACTACATAGTCTCACCACGTTATCCCAATGCCACAATCGTGATAAGATATTGTGTACAACAGCGCCCAACCTATGCTTCCAAACGTGAAATTGGCACGGCTCAAAAGCTTGTAATACACCCTAACATCGTTCCCAGCCAATGAGTCTGGCTGGAGATAATGCACTTTCAACGTGCCCTCGAGCTGTCGTGTAAATCAGATCTAGCCGATGATACTGGCGCAACTTCACCCCGTTATATCAAGGTCTTAATGCGTACGTGTAATCATAGTCTCACGACAGCACCATCTGTTTGCATCACTCGCGCAGCATTTGGGGGGTGAGTGGGGCGCGAGAGGCATTTTGTTCGCAAACAAATTCGACTCGCCACCTCCCTCCCATCACACCGAGCGGTGGGTGAATAGGGATTAAGAGATGATGGAGGGGGGGGGGGGAATTGCGTCTAGCAGCAGAGACTTAAGAAGCTCACCCGGTGATGAGTGGGACGCCGCTCACAGTTGCGCGGGGATTTTTAAGCGAGAGGATATGTCAAACGCTGTCAATGGGGGAGCACGGATCAGCAGGGATACGAACGCGTCATCTGGTTTAACCTTCTTTGTGTGAACATATGTTTGCCTTACCCTTATAGAATATCCGAATAAAGATTTTGATCGGTGGTGCTGCAGTGCGAAATGAAGCTGATTTCCTGCTCAAATGAGCATTTCTGCTGATGCTCATTGCCTATTTACAGCCCTCAACCGGTGGTGGAAATTCCACATTCCTTTGATAGGGGTTGAGTCTATCCAAAGGATAACTACTGTTGACTGCTGTGTGCCTTGTTCATAGCGTTCATAGCCGGATCAGGGGTTGACTCAGCCCCATCAAACCTTCAGGGGCGAATCAGGACAGGTTGTTTGATGAATAAACCTTCCCCTGTCATGGGACTGTGCAATTTCTACCATTGGCTCAAGGCCAGCAACTTACGTGAGCACTGCCCCAATGCTTGTTTGAGGAGGTAGACACATTGACTTGTCTTGCGCTATACGTAGGAAGACTTTAGTGGGTTTTTTTTGTAACGTACCGGTCACTCAGAACATCACTCATTCATTAATTTGTATGATGTTTAGCCCAGGAAAGCCTCAAGACACTCTTCCAGGATGGTCTTGACAAGCTTCCACATTGGGAGCGATGATCGGCCACGTGTGTCCGCGATTCGATCGTTCGCAGCCTCGATTCCCCAAACTTGGACCCCCGACGCCGGCACACAGCGGTCTCCTCTCTCTTGTGCGAAAGACGTCACGGGATTCTCTTTTTATTTTGTAACGGGGATCCAATTTGCGAAGCGGCACCACGGCGCGTGTCGTTTGAACGGGGCGGCCGCTGGTTATAATCGAACGGCGAACGCCGTCGGCCGCTGGGCCCTCGTCACCACCCCGTCACTTGAGTCACGCACATCGCAGAGGCGTTTCGTTTCTTGTTGTTGTACGGGGGAATTGAATAGTGTCAGAATGAGAAGGAGCCGACTGACCGAAAAGCCCTGTCACGGACTCATCTTTTATCGGGGTTTATCTCTGCCAAGACATATGCTGGTCAGCCGTCGTCCGGCAGAGGTTCCGGAAATTGCACGAAAGCTTCTCCCTCCGTTTGACAATGGTAGCACCATTCGGCGGTGCATTGGAAATAAATGTGAGACAAAGTCTGTGGACAGTGGTTTACTTGCTGTACAACTTCACAAACATTGATGTTTTCAACATGTACAGTATATGAGTCTCATTTTAGATGTAATGTCAATCATAATAGTGAATGATCAGGGTCTGTATATACTATATACACATGTTATGGCATGAATGGTCTCATGATGCAAAAAATATATCCTATATATGAACTCTGTATTATTCAAAAAGTAATAAGTATGAATAGCTATCAGTAAATTTAAATCCAATTGGACAGCTTAATATTTGGCATTTGTTGAAAGCGTGAGCTGTAGGATTTTTTGCCAACGACAATTTATTCTTGACCCCGTGAAAACATTTACTTTTTAAAGCTGCTTTATATGTCACTATCATCATATATTCACATTATTCAGAGAACCCGTAACAATTGACTGTCATTTCCAAATGCAATTGACTTGAACTTATATATTAAATGCGCCATTTATGCAATGCATTCCTAACATTGTGTCTGTCTTATCATTCGTTTCTCTCTCTCTCTCTCTGCCTTTTTATTTGCTCTGACAACTCTTCCTTATCTTCCCTCCCACTCATTCACTTTTCTTTTGACCTGCCCCTCGGGCTTATCATCTCTATTCCTTGAATGCCTTTCACACCCTCTCTATTTCACTTCAATAACCCTCCTCCCACATTCAACGCCCCTCTGTGAATGTCAATCCGTTGCACCCTCTCTGCCATTTCCTCTCTCTTCTGTCTGCTTTTCCCCATCTCATTCTCTCCCCTCTCATTTCCGTGCTCTCTCTCTCTCTTGTTTTTCAACTCTCTGCCCATTATAATGGATCCTGCTGCTGCCACAGTTGGGCCACTGATTGGCCGTTACTGTGGCAACAAATCACCAGGGGAGATAAAGTCTGTGTCTGGGATTCTCTCCGTCACCTTTAACACGGATGGCGGCATCGCCAAGGATGGCTTCTCTGCAACATACAGGATGATTCAACGCAAGATCATTGAAAGTAAGTCCCTGATATTTGACATTTAATTCCCCCTCCGAACTTTGCACGGTGAACTATGTGTAAGAAAACCATGACGAGAAAGCAAGTGCAGTTTAATTTATAACAACATCATTAACTTTAATTTTAATTCATTGTTTTATTGTATGATTTATGTTATGTTAATTCTGCAAAATTGTAAATGCATAAATACTGTATATATTTTAGATCAAAGTACCGACAGTGCTTGCTTTGTTTTTGTTTACCCATCATCACTGCATCTTTATTCGTATTCAATACACTAACATGTGCATATGTTGCTTCTACCTGATTTTACAAAGGGTGTATGCAAAGTGTAACGATGTAGATTTTAAGCTTTCGTGACTGCAAGGATTAATATTCTTAGGTTTTTTCGGTAAAGTCACGTAGAAAAAAAATTAAAATTAATAAAAGTAAAATAAAAAATAAAATAAAAATCACGACGTTTCGGAGGCAACACAAGCCTCCGTCTTCAGCTGGAACCGTCACAGCACGATAGCTGTATCAAGTAAGAGAAATTCCAAGAAAACAGTCCTTGTATATATACTGGTTGAGGGTGGGAGGAGCCAAGGTAGGCCCTGAATATTCTTATTGTGAGGTTCGGTGCGGCTGAAGCACGCTGTTAGGAATGAGTCTTTGTTGTGTAGACTGGTTGAAAAGAGTTGTTAAGGTGAGGCTGATGTAAAGGTGCGTGTAAATGGGACTGAGCCTTTTGTTATGTAGAGGTGGTGAGGCTGAAACCGCTGCCAGGAATGAGTCTTTGTTGTGTAGACTGGTTGAATGGGAGGTTCTAAGAGTTGTTAAGGTGTGGCTGATGTAAAGGTGCGGCTGCTGTGAATGGCACTGAGCCTTTGTTATGTAGATGAAACAGCACTTTTGTTACGTTGCTGGGATTAATTCTAGATTTGCCAAATATGTGTGGTAAAACTTAAAGTAGGAAAACCAGTGTGTGAAAAAGAAGAAGAAACTATACGGTAACTGAAGAATAGTGCCTGTCAAATAAGATGGTCCAAATATGTGTAGTTAAATCTTTTTTGCATGGTTAATAACATCTTTCCAACGATTACTAAGTTTGTACCCATCATCACGGTGGAAATTATGTCTGTGTTTGTATATTTGGATGGCTTCATGTACAAACCTTTGATGGTAGCCAGGAGGTTAGCAGAGCACTTTGGTCTCGGAAAAGACAATTTCATGAGAGCCCACAGCGTTGTAGCAATGATCGGCAACGGCGGAAGAATCAGTTTTATTGTGTTTCAGATCTGACTTGTGCTCGCGGACACGCTCAGAGATATGACGTTTCGTTTCTCCAATGTAGCAATCACCACAACTGCAACTTAATTTGTAGACTCCAGGGTATTTTAAGTCAGTTTATTTTATTTTTATTTTACTTTTATTAATTTTAATTTTAATGTTTTACCTACGTGACTTTACCGAAAGAAACCTAAGAATATGTAACGATGTAGACAATATAGGTTGTTCGTATCTATCCCAGGTGTACAAACCTAATATATTCCCGCAGTTAAATTGTTTCTTTAAATAGGAAAATGGCGGCCATTTTTAGAAATCTATTTTTTATTGCGCAGATCGTCATCTCGAGACCTTAATGGTGTAATCATGAACTAACAACAACAACAACAACGTTGTTAGATCATTATTACTTGGCCGAAGTCCAAGCTCCCATGATGCGTGCATACCGCATGCAGCGCTTGGCTAGCGGGTCACTCAGTTTTGTTTTCCTTCAGACTCGGGCGGCGCTAGAAACCTATTAAGGCTGGCATCAGCAGGGCTCCCTCAAAGGGAGTCAGATGGGGCGGCTGCAGATAATCCTGTGGGGTGCGACCACCCACGGCTCGGTGTTTGGGAGGCTTCCGAGGAAAGTTTCGTCTATATACAAATGTTTTTTTGGGTTAGATCACGTAAGTGTAAATGTGTTCATCTTCTTGGTTCTTTCGGTAAAGTCACGTAGAAGGGAAATAATAAAATAATAAAATTTAAACATAAGAAAATAATTCTCACGACGTTTCGGCCACACCGCAAGCAGCCGTCCTCAGGTGAAGAATGAAACACCACCAAGCTTGGAGCGTATATTTAAGCTGGGTTGGAGGGGTGAAGAAGAGCTTAAAGTTTTATGGAATCCCACCCCGTAGTGGCGGTTAAATTTCGATTTAAAGCTTTCGTGACTGCAGGGATTCATCTTCTTGGTTCTTTCGGTAAAGTCACGTAGAAGGGAAATAATACAAAAAAAACTGTAACCGCCACTTCTTGGTGGGATTCCATAAAACTTTAAGCTCTTCTTCCCCCCTCCAACCCATCTTAAATATTGGTGGTGTTTCATTCTTCACCTGAGGACGGCTGCTTGCGGTGTGGCCGAAACGTCGTGAGAATTATTTTATTGTTTTATTTTTTTATTTCCCTTCTACGTGACTTTACCAAAAGAACCAAGAAGATGAATCCCTGCAGTCACGAAAGCTTTAAATCGAAATGTAAATGTGTTGTTAACCCACCACTAGCCGACACAGCCAACCAGAAAGGTCTGTCACGTGAACAAAACGTGCCAATTAGTTACTACTTCAGCCCACCGGTGTGCTAGAGAGTAAATCTACATCATAATCCACGGAGATTTTGCCAGAATTATGGCAAAATCGCCCGATGATGCCGGATGTAATTACCAACGATACGTCATGGTATTCAAATTGTAAACACACCGGTAGGCTGAAATAGTAAGTAATTGGAACGTTTCTTTTTTACATGACAAACCTTACTGGTTGGCTGTGTCGGGTGATGCGGGTTGACAACACACACCGATACTTACGCGATTATAACCCAAAAACCTGTATTATGAATAATATTTGTCGCGAAAGCCTCTGTGTCAAACTGAACGTTTAGTCGTTGGTGCTCTCGAACGTTTACGCGATTGGCCCCAGAGGATCTCTCCTCCAATGATACATTGCACAATATAATCAACAACGTCGTCGTCGTCGTGGAGAACATCAAAGTAACAAAGTGGTTAAGTGGGAAAACACGTCACTTTCGCATATATATATATCTCTCTGGCATGAAGTGGGGTTTTTGTTTTGCTTACACAACCGTCAGCCCCCACGGCCTTCTGGGAGTGCATAGCTTCAGCAGCATTGATTCCAAGGAAGCAAATATACACATCACCAAATATAATTTCCAGCAATGAAAACAAAGTAGCCTTCATCATACTCGCACGTGGTATTTTGGGAGTTTTTTTATTATCAAAAACTAAAATAAATACGAGTACCAACACTGGCTGCTACAGTATTCTGCAGCAGCCAGATAGCAAAGCTTTAAAAATATTTAGCCGCTGTGCTTTTTATGACCTTTATATGTTCACGAGGAATATGAAATACATATTAAAATGTATATTTAATTGGTGCTTTAACCTTTGTGGGAGAGAGTAGAGTTGTGACATTTCTATTTGAGATTTGTAATATAGATGGCAGAAAACCTCAGGACTACCTTTAATGAGATCTACGGTTGGTCCAAAAGAGCAGAAGTAGTGCTGAGATTTTTTATATTAAAGTCACTGACAATATTGAAAGCCAGCATTTTCTAGGGACATTCTGCTAGACGTTGCTGCATACAGAATTGCTATTTTTTGTGTTTTAATAATGTACATTCAATCGTAAATCCGTTGTGGTTTTATATAAGAGAGGTATTAAAGCGGCCTAATCGTTCTGACGTATCAGCCTAGATTGCGTAGATTAAATGTTGGCCAAAATATCTTAAAGTTCAGCAGTTTGAATATATCACATACCCGGTCAAAGTGTAAATGTGCATGGAAATTCATGCGCTATTCAGTATTTATAAAGCAGTGGTGCAGTGGTAAACCCACTGCTTTTAGCCCAGTGACCTGAGTTTGATTACCAGTCAGTGCTAACTTCGGTGGTGAATAATTGATTAACACCTTCCACTTCTACCAGTACTGACCAAGGTGGTGAAGTATCTCAACACCCCCTGCTGCCCCATGAATGCCAATTGTACGTGGGGCACCTCACTCACCAGTGGGCTTACAAAAGCCTCGAATGCTATATATGTATGTTTGAATTTATGTATGCAAATAATGATCATGTCACGTCATATACTTTCCTGCTCAAATGGTTTGCATGCAAGGCTCCCTCCCTTTGTAGGTCACCCCACTGTCACTCACCCAACAGTTATATTGCAGCACGAGAGGCCACCCCACCGTAGGACTGGAATGCCGTATGCAGTAGAACCCCACTTAACGACGGTAATTGGTTCCACGGAACCTGTCGTTAAGTGATTTGATGGTTAAGCGAGCATGGGAAACACACGTCAAAGGCTTCATTCGTTCGGATAGCACCGAAAGTTACCCTTTTTCACCCAAAAAACGTACTTTGTGATATTGAAATAATTGATTTAATACATAAAGATAATAACAACATCATAAACACATATCATTAAAATTAACATGGTTAATCAATGTCAATTAATATTTACTGTACCTACAACAGCCCGTCGTTAACAGGGGAATGGTCTGTAAGTGAACACATTGGGCTCTATGGAGGCACTACACTATTATCCACTACACTATACACTACACTACTTTACACTACACTATACACTACACTACTATACACTCCACTACTATACACTACACTATACACTACACTACTATACACTACACTATACACTACACTATACACTACACTACTATACACTACACTACTATACACTACACTATACACGACACTATACACTACACATTGGGCTCTATGGAGGCCCGTCGTTAAGCGATTAGTCGTTAACAGGGGTGGTCGTTAGGAGAGGTTCTACTTTATTGACTGTTTTGTTCATTCGATATTTACTGCATGTGCTGAACAACTCGGGGTCACTGGATCTACACAACTGAGATATTAATGTGTACCAACAGAAGTTGCCTCACATTGCTATTGTAGCCGTGCAATTATTCATTACGGTTGAATTATTTCGAACAATTTAGCTCTTTAATATTTTAAGCATATGCAAGGACAAATGCGTTGGTGCTTGCCATCATTGTGACGAGTGTAAAACGAATGTTTTTAAAAAAATTCATTCGTAACTCCCCTATCTACCTGTCAATTCAGTCATCTGCGTTTCGTGTGGTCACTGTCGCGTTGGTTTGCGTACGCCACGGTGCATTCGAGTCACACTTATTTCCCGTGACCACGTGCATCTAGCGGTGAAGTGCAACCAGCCACTGGGAATGGAGTCTCTGGAAATACGAGATGAGCAGATCACAGCTTCCTCAATGTACCCCAACAAAGAGTGGCAGCCCAAACAGGCTCGGCTCAACAACCCCATCCACGCATGGACGCCGGCAGCAGACTCCAACAAGGAGTGGATACAGGTTTGGTGTTACACGTCTGCAGAGCACACACTGCACTCTGCCTGCAGTAACAAAACAAAACCGTCACTTGGTATTGATTTAAAGCTTTCGTGACTGCAGGCATTCATCTTCTTGGTTCTTTCGATAAAGTCACGTAGAAGGAAAATAATAAAATAATAAAAATTAAACATAATAAAATACAATTCTCACGACGTTTCAGCCACAACGCAAGCAGCCGTCCTCAGGTGAAGAACAGGTCTGTCGGGAAGACACCATTCAGACGCTGTCTTCCCGACAGACCTGTTCTTCACCTGAGGACAGCTGCTTGCATTGTGGCCGAAACGTCGTGAGAATTGTTTTATTATTTTTATTATTTTATTATTTCCCTTCTACTTGACTTTACCGAAAGAACCAACAAGAAGTCACTTGGTAGTTTCAAACTCCGAACGTGTGGAGGGCAGTGAGAATTCAACGTTCCGTGTGTGTGGGGAGGGGGTGTTTAAGTACTTGGAGACCTCGACTCAGACGCACAATAGCCTTCACTTATAGGTCCCCAAACGCCGGGCAGTTTCTCACACCGTGTATTTGTGTGTCTTTTTACTAGCAAAACACGCTAAAGACGCCCTACATGTCATTCAGGCCATTAGGCTCTTTGCAGAAGCACTCTTAAGGCCATCTTAAGAAAAAAACCTTGACCCCCAGATACTGATTTCAGTGGGGCAGTCAAAACCTTTAAAGCCTTCTCTCTAATGTCCCAAATGCAAGGATTAGTTTCACACACATCACTTACCTAATTCCTCCTTACTCGGCTCCTGGTCACATTCCGAATGGTCAAAAATAAGCTGAAAGTAAAATATCTTCCTCCGCTGAACCACAACTATTTTGGAGAAAGTGTGCATTTTAAGTACCGTTGGTGGGGAATAATTAAATAAAAATGTGCACATTTACCGCATTGGAAACCTTAGTATAGACATCGCTTGTGTAAAGCAATGAGTTTAGTTAAGAAAAATAAAGTTTAGGTTCTGTGTAATTTATAAGGCACTGGTAATGAGCTATCACACAGCACATATTGCCGTAAAATGTGCAGCACTTTTTTTTTACACTTTTTTCTTTTTTAAATTGTCAGCTTAGTCTAATTTGGCAAAAAATTTATTTCATAGTCTTATTAATGCTGTAGTGTGTAAATTGTAGGCAGTAAACGTTATTACCTGGACCACAGCCAATTGCTCAACAAGGAAGAGACATATGCTTGGGAGAAGATTAGCTTTAACTTTGCAAAATAAGAAAATACAATGCAGTATATAAACTTTCTAAATGAAACGTATAATGCGAGGAGCATTCCGGAAATTTGAGAAACAGCATTGAAGGCATTCAAAGTACACAAAAATGTATAATTAATTAGCTTTGTCTTCACTTAATTTGGAAACATTCATTTAGAGTATGTGTCTGCTATATATTTCCACGTGATAAGCCACTTCGTTACGCTATCATTTGTGGCCAGGTTATTTCTGAAAAAGAGCTACAGTATGTAGCTCAGTGGGCCTTACCTGGTGAAATAAAAATAAGAGCTTAGTTTAATTATGCAAATTCCAGCTTTGAAATTAATGATTTAAAAAGGTGCATGCTTAGAGTGGCGAAAGGGGCCTGCTGAAGGGACTTCAGAACCAATTCCATGATATTTACAGACAATTCTCAGACTCAGGGTGGTCCACTCATCAGAATGATAGTTCTGATTGAACATTACTGGATGTCTGTGAAACCTACTAGACATGTGTGAAAAGAGCTTCATATCTCATCGGATTCCTCCAGTCTAAATAATATTCTGATTGTTCAGCTCAACTCGATACAACTCTTAAAACACAGTTAAAATATATTGGGAGGAAATATATATATAGAAATAAAGTAAAAACAACACGAGTGACATTTAATGCAACAACTTTAAATGCAACGAATGTGATAATGCGCATGTGCTTATAGAGATTACGTTTGTCTGTTTTTTTGTATGAAGACTGCCATGTGCAAAGATAACATTTCATTTTTAACTCATCTATTTAAATTCGTGTTTTCAACCCAGTGAACTCTCCTCTTTGTTATCTCAATAGGCTGATCTAGGCTACCTGAAAATCCTGAGTGGAATCGCGACACAGGGCGCCATCTCAAAGGACTCCAAGAAGAGCTACTACGTGACATCATACAAGATGGAAGTCAGCAGCAATGGAGACGATTGGATGATGTTGAAAGAGGGAAGGATGCCCAAGGTACGCAAAGTTTCACACTTCACCGAGCCACATTGTAACAAACCGTTTCTTTTGAAATCTGCTTGCATGATTAAGGCATCTGTCCTTTCATTAACCATAATAATATTAAGAAACTAAAAATACTGAATCATATTCTTAGGTTTTTTCGGTAAAGTCACGTAGGTAAAAAACATTAAAAGTAAAATAAAATAAACGGAGTGGTAGCTTCTGCAATCTCTCATTTACTTGATACAGCTGTCGTGGCTGTGACGGTACCACCTGAAGACGGAAGCTGGTGTTGCCTTCGAAACGTCGTGATTTTTATTTTATTTTACTTTTTAATGTTTTTTACCTAAGTGACTTTACCGAATAAACCTAAGAATATGAATCTTTGCAGTCACTAAAGCTTCAAATCTAGAATTAAAAATACTGAACTCTTTTTTTTACCAGGTAAGGCCCACTGAGCTATATAGCCCCTTTTCAGAAGCGAACTGGCTATCAAATGATAGCTCAACGAAATACCTTGTCATCACGTAGAAATTTGTAGTGCATGTTTATAAATGTGGAGGGTAAAACCGGAGGACCCGGTGAAAAATCCACGCGACCATGGGGAGAACATGTAAACTCCAAATATACAGGCGTCAGGGTTGGGATCGAACCCACGACCTCCTGTATACCAGGCGAGGGAGTTAACATCTCGCCATTATTTACAGTCTTATGTAAATCCACTGCTCAATGAAGGCATCTCCATGTCATGCCACCTATGGGGAGTTCTGCGCATACGATATTTCATCGCACTCTTCAGTGAATTTTGGTTAAGGGGTGGTGCAGGCCCAGTTCAAATATCAGTCACTACTGACGTTAGCCATGGCCGGGAATCAAACTCAGGTATTCGGGTTAATCGCACAATGCTCTAGCCACTGCTCCACTGATCCCCCCTGCTTACGTATGCTATGCTTACATATATGATCAAGTATAAGTACATGTATGTGGGATCTTAGACATGCACTACCACTAAATAATGAATCTTATTCGTATCTCAATTTAAACTATAAAACTTTTTTTTATGTTACCAGGTAAGTCCCATTGAGCTATATAGCTCTTTTTCAGAAACGACCTGACTACAAATGACATCTCAACGAAGCGGCTTATCGGGTGGAAATTTCTAGCAGCCAAATACTCTAAACGCATGTCACTAAATGTGGAGGGTAAAACCAGAGGACCCAGAGGAAAATCAACGTGACCACGGGGAGAACGTGCAGACTCCAACCAGAGTAACTACACCCAGGGCCTTACCCTCCACAGGTCTTCTCGGCCAACTCGGACGCATCCTCGCTGGTGGAGAACAAATTCCCGGAGCCTGTGCTGACGCGGTTCGTGCGCGTGAGGCCCCGGAGCTGGGAGAATGGCATCGCCCTCCGCTTTGAGCTGTACGGATGTCACATCTCCGGTAAGTTGCCCGTGCTGGATAATCACGGCATGCCCTGCTGCTTACCACACCGTGCCATGCCACAGCACATCACACATCCTGACGTACGTACCACGACCGTTCTTTGCGTCGGTCGACTGCTGGCTGATGGGCTTTCTACGCCTTGAGGGACGTGAGGGATATTTGACCACATGCCACCCGTGCTGGTCAATGAGAGTTGAAGGTTTGGGAGAGTGGAGAACAATGGCGTTTGCTGCGCTGCCCTCTAGTGCCCAGAACACCTGCTGTTACAACTGTTTTCTGTGCATGACATTCACCCGTCACGTGGGCTCAAGGCTGATTAACTTATATCTGACGAGATCGAGTGATTGAGTTGAGCGTAGGCAATGCTACATCACGTCACAATGCTGTATTACCTGCCAGCCTGGGAGAAAGGCTGGCGCAGTGGTAAAGCTTGCGCCTCACAGAAAGAAGGACCTGGGTTTGATTCCTGACTCGGCCAACTTTCTGAGTGGAGTTTACGCGTTTACCCCTGTTCTGCATGGGTTTCCTCCAGGTTCTCTAGTTCTCTCCCATAGCTAATACACATGCAGTGTAATTGGTGTTGGCCTAACATCCCCCAACGTAGCAGAACCCACGTGAAAAATAGATCTTCGGAATCATGGATTAACGATGATTGAATTATCTCATGACAAGCCTTGACTGACCACTTCCTGTAAAAGTAGCATCAACTTACCGCATTCCAATCGCACAGGGCAATCAGTGTGGCCGCACCACGGTTAGCAACAAGGGCAGACTTAACGTTCCCGAGCGAGCGCCGAGACTCACGCTCTCCCAAATCATGCCACAGCTCGACATCGTTCCCGTCTTGCAATTCTTGAACACGCGGCCCAGCCAGAAGGTCTCCACGCTTAAACAAGCTTGCAGTGGAGATCATCTCCATGGTGATGGTGGCATATCTACATTCCCAGGGCAGGGACAACACAGGCGCTGTGCCCGTGGTGTAGCACCTCCTGGTGCAGGGGACACAACCCCAGATTGCATGCTCATTTTTTGTCATGCCATGGAAATAAAATCATTTTTTGTGCTGGAAAATGTTTCCATTGTCTGCTAATGACACAAAATGGGCGGTGACTTTTGTGCACGTACTAAAGTGGCTTTAACGTTTTTTTTAAGTGGAAAATGCCCCATGCAACTTTTTTCTGAATTCCAGCTATAGAGCTGTAAACAAATTGGGCCTGAGTTGAAAGTACCGTACAATAGAACAAGACAGCGGTACTCTCAATGCACGGCATTGCAAGTGTTGCACATGTGGACGTGAGTGGAGAGAAAAGAAAGCACCATGGGAAAAGACGATGAAATCATTGCTTGCGTGTATTCCGCTGACAGTCTCATCCGTTCAGATAGCGCATGTCCAACCCTTGCTACTTTCATTGGCGACTCTGACACGCCATTTGTCAAGATGCCGCGGAAAAAAAGTCTGCTTAGGTCACATCCCTGTAACCTTCATCTGGCAACTTTTCCATACGAGCGTGTAAATCATGTGCTATATCACTTGAAATGTCTTTGTTGGACCTCCCAGAACGGCTATGACAAGCGCTGTGACCACCGCATTAATAATAAGAAAACAACAGCATGTTTCTTTTAGAAATGTTAATTTAGTTCACTTACAACGAACTCTCGAACAAAAAGACGCATGTTTAAACTCAGTTCGGGAAAAATGTTGGCATCGTCATGTTGGCAATGATAAAAAATAAACTGGCTCCTGTAGGGAACGCTCACCCACTATTGTTGCATCCAATCCCGAATTAAAAAGTCAGCTTAAAAGGCTTTAAGCAAAGAGCCTGTCATGCAAACCACCACAGAGCTGCCTCGTCAATGCCTGCCTCCACTTGAACCGACCCTCTATTGATGGCTCATGCATCAGTCGGCCATTAGAGAGCATCAATTTTTCAGCAGCTAAAAACATGACCAAATGTTTCGGTTGCACCTCATAGCTTGAAGGACTTCTAATTTGCTGTGCCATCAAAGTGAGAGAAGACGCCATTGCCAGGGCATTGGGCATATGTTATGGAAGTGTTGAATTGCACACGCGTGCGTGTGCGTGTGCATGTACAGAAACTTGCCAAAGAAAACATTGACTCTCGGTTTTTTTTTGTAAGTGAAATTGTTTCCTTTAAACACCCACTCCAAGTTGGGGATAAACTCGAAATCTGATTTAAGATGCTGCGTGATTATTTTACAATTTGAGGTTCTTTACTTGCCAATGAGAACTCCAAAGGACCTCAAAAGATATGCGCAGGCCAGAACTGTACAGTAATGAACACAATGGTGAAATATATTTAAGTTGCATGGCACCACAGAAAAACTGAAAGTGCCCTCAATATTACATATAAAGTAATGATGCCACACATGCATCAGACAATACATCTCATGCTATTTCTCGGGCCGAGAGGATACGGGTTTCTTTTACTTTTCCCCCACAAAATATTTTCACAGCTAGTTGTGCACCACCTTGTATCAGATAATAGGCTGATTGGTCGGCACCTGGGGGAAGTTTAAGCCGTGCCCTTCGTGAGACTGCATTTTAAATCATCGCTCTGCGCTGACCCAAGATTGGCCGCCTTCTGTGCTGCAAGCGAAGGCTTTGCCAATTTTTACTCCACACGTCAAGCTAGTCCAGATATATTATATCATGAATTAAGGTTGGCTGAATCCACCTTCGGTTGGTGGTAACCGGTCACGTGGCTCAACGGTCGACGGAGCGACTTGCAAAACGGAAAGTTGCGAGTTCAAATCCTGGTTGGTGGTTGACTCAACCAATCATCCCACTGGGTATAATAAAATCAGGACCACGATGCCAACAGAGGTTGTCCTATGGATAGACTCGCTCCCCCCCCAACCCGCCCCCGTAAGGCTGTAAACAGGGAAGAAGCACTGCCTGAATGCTTATTTGAACAAGAAATCACATTTTAGTTGACTTTTTGGGAGTTGAGGTACAGTTTGCAGCAATCATTTCATAATTACACAAGGATAATGAGAGGGGGGAGGGGGGAGGCCAGGCATATTCGTCCTGCATATCTAAGGATATGTCATTTGCATAGCAAATCAAAGTGTATATTAGAGCTATGTAATATCATCCTGTTTGGTGGCATTCTAGGTACACTGATGACCATATCATTACACTCTCTGATATAACCTTCTGACATTTTAATTATAATAGTTCTGCACGTTAACGCCTGTTATTTTCTGTTTTTCTTTTCATGAACGTGGCTCAGTTTTAATTTATGCTGGATGTCAATGTTTTTTTTTGCAAAGGCAGCTTTGTTTTTTTTACGTAATGAGCCTCAGGATATGAATGTTATTTTGCATGTTTTATTATACATTGACTTCATTAGTGTTCCCCATCTTTCAAGGAATCTGAAACGATCAATACGCAGTGATTTCCAATTCAATAACACCTTCATTTTAGAGCAGATGTAATGAATACAACGTGAACGAAAAGCATTTTTTTTCTTAATGGCCACTTTGAAAACAACTATTTCATAATGAGGTCAGGGAAACGATGATCATTATAATACATTTCTGCACTAATAAGGGGCACGTTCTGTCTTGTGTTACCTACAGTGTGAATGGTAAAGTTAAAGCTTGGTCTACACTGTACTTGTTGCAGGCACGAGGCACCTACATCAGGGTTTTGTAATAAAGCAGCAGTAGCCAGACCAAACATGATATTGTAGTCTTTATTAACCCAGGCCACCTCGAGCAAACAAAATATTAAATAGGACCATATTTATTGGCACGTAATAATATGCATTATATGATTGTCGTCATTGCAGGCAAATACAGGTCCCTGGCATGGGAATGTGGAATTCCCATCTGTCTCAAGGCTGCCAATAGAGATGAGCACTTCCCCATTGCTTGTTGAGCACAGATATAAGTTTGGTTTATTCATTTCCATTGGACGATAAATTACTGTTATCAACAAATAAAAAATTTTAGTTAAGATTTCTCCATTGATTGTAATGCCTGCATTTTTCCAATCCTTTCTGCAGAACAAAAATATTGTTGTGTATGAATCTATGCAACATTTTCTCACTCTTGGGTATCAGAGAATAGACGTCACAGCTGTCCTATACAAAATTCATAGCCATGGCCAGTAATCAAACTCAGGTCGACGGGTTCAAAGTGCAGTGCGTGAACCGCTGCACTTCTGCTATCGCCACAACCCATGTGAGTTATATAAAACAGGACACTGTTACTACACTATGCCGTACCACACACCGAATCAATTAAAAGGACACTTTCGCCAATAAAACTGTGGCCTTAAAACTAAAATGCATAATAGGCAATGTTTTAGGCAATGTACCTTCTTTATAGCACGTAAACCTTTAGAGAATGACCATATTGCCTGAAACGTCACCTATTATATATTTTTACTTTTCAGGCCGCAGCGATATTGACGGGAGTGTAGACTTTTTTCTTATTTGTATTTGTGCACCACAGCCATATGACGAAGGAGCATAACCATATACTCCATGTAAGCGGCAAATGATTAATTGTGCCCACAGACTACCCTTGCTCTGGCATGCTGGGAATGCTCTCCGGGAGGATACAAGACGCGCAACTGCAGTCCTCGTCCCAGCGAGGCCTCAACTGGGCTCCGTCTAGCGCGCGGCTGCTCAGCTCCGCGTACGGCTGGGCGCCGATGCCCCCCCACGGGGCGTCCCACCCCGTGGGTGAGTGGCTGCAGGTGGAGCTGGGCGGGCGGCACACCGTCCGTGGCATCATCCTGCAGGGCGCCAAGTCCGGCACCGTTCCGGACAACCGGCTGCACGTGCGCAAGTTCCGCCTGGCCACGAGCCTCGACGGAGAGAGCTGGGAAATGATCAGCGAGGACGACTCCGACCTCCCCAAGGTAGACGATGCTCCACTGGTAGGGTTTCACCCCTGGCCAGGATTGTCCTCCTTTTGAGGTGGCAAGGCGATGCGTTCACGTGAAGCTCTGCCCGCCTCCCGTGCCGTGAGACATTCTTCCCATGACACGTCCTGGTTTTTGTACCTCAGAGGTGTCAACCCTAACCCGATAGGGTTGCTGGAGACTTAATAGAAATTATGCATGTACGTAGAAATCATGTCCATGATTGTCCAGGGAAAGAGACTGCCATCTGCCACAGGAATATTGAATTCCCACGGCCGTTTCAGGGCAGTTAATGAAGGTGAGTGCGACACCAAATTTATAAAATGTTGTTACCTGGGTGGAGTTTTACATGTGGGAAGAAATCACATGCCACGTGGAAAAACTAAAAATCTGCACGGCCAAGTGAGGAACCTATTCACTGGACAGCTGTCTTTTGGCCACCATGCAGTTTAGCACGTTGAGAGCCTCATGGTTAATTATGAAATCCATGTAATCCACCAACACTGCCAGTCACATTAAACTGTTGGAAACTTTTAGACTTGGATGCACGAAGGTACAGACAAAGGGCAATAATGGGTAATGCTCAACATTGCACAAGATTAAACTTCAACATGCAAGGGGAAGACTGGGGCTTCCACAGTATTGTGACATCTTGACCCTCTTTGTCTTTAAATCACTATCGGTAATATGAACGGTGGAATAATATGTGTTTACACAAGACCCAGTGTCAACCGTGTGGTTGTTTCAGTGAATCAAACAACATTTGCTAATTTTTTTATTAAATCGGCTGAGTCATGCGTCTCATTAAATCTTTGTTTTTTTATTTGCACTGCACAACGCTCGGCATCCACCAAAAAGATGCCACTTGAAACTAAAACATAATTAAGCATCATTAGGTTATGGTAACAATTACAAGATAGAGTTTTAAAGGCACAACATTTTCAGCACTTAATAGTTTTTTAGCTCGAAGCAAATGCCCCTGTGGACCTAAACTATTCTACTGATGTAATCTTTGACAGTCTATTATAATATTAAATATGTATTGTATGCTCATGGTTTGCACATTGGCTCTTCTTTAGTAACAAGGCAACTTGTGTGTCTTTTTAATGCATATAATATTTTACCTCGGTAATGCATTGATATGGAAAATTTAATTAGCAAGGGTGTGATTAAATTATGATGCCCCGAGAGTTATTATTACTGTACTTGAAATACATATTTATTTTCTTCAGAAATCATGAGAAAACATGCCATTTCAATAGAAACAGGAATGCCGTTTTTTTTTACTTTCATCACTTTAAGTTGTACTATATCAATTTGTGGTTTTCCTTTATGGTGGGTGATGTATGCTCAACAACCACAATGATCTCAAGATTGATGGAAGGAAAACTGTTAAACTATAAAAAAATATATATATTTTACCAGGTAAGGCTCACTGAGCTATATAGCTCTATGTCAGAAGTGACATGTCCAGAAATGAAAGCTCAACGAAGTGGTTTATCATGTGGCCATTTATAGCAGCCAAATACTCAAAACGCATGGGGGCAGAACTTGGGTTTTGTGAAACGTTCCGCAACACAAAACCAAAGCGTTATTACATCCGCTTTCCAGCTCAGTCCAGGGAAATTATGAGATATTCAGCGAAACGTGGAGTGTCTCTGCTCTGTGTGGAATGGCACGTTGCTGAATCCCGCATGTTTGCAGAAGAGCGGGTTTGGACAGTGGTTGATGCTGGCTCATTGAGGTGGAATTGTTCTGGAGTGAGATCAGAGACATGTAGATGTAGACAAGATTGGGCAATCTCCCACAGAGCGAAGATTTTGATGGAGGGCCTTGGTTGCTGGAGCTGAGAGCAAGTGAAGGGGAGTAGAGTGAGATCAAAGGCAAGAGGTGGGCAGGTGTGAGACTATGGGGGATGTTGAACGCAGAAAGGGGATATTCAAGTTGTCCTGCCATTAAATTACAAGCATCCTTTACATGCACTTCTATTCAAAGGGCAACAGCTTCTTGTGTTTTTGGGTTTCTAAATGTGCAAAGCCCTCTGATCTTAACAGTAACAGACTTTGCCCTGCCTCAAGCACCCATCTCCAACACCAGAATTGACCTCTATATTCTGTCAGAGTGGGTCACGTCATTTCTTGCTGTCAGCGCCCGCAAAAAAGAATACATCTGTTGACATCTTTCTCGCAAATTCTCCTGGGTTATTGCAACGTCGCTAGCCAATTCAACAACGTCCTCGAATGTCTCCACATTCTATCTTTATACTGACACCTGTGATGAAAGTGCACCGTGCCTTTTTACTACAAACCAGTGCCCTTTCATTTGTGGACATCCAGCTAAATGCGCCATTGCTCGGCATTCAGCTTCGGCGCAGTTTGTCAGGGAAGCGTTCAACGTTGGACACATCCCGACAGCTCCACGTATCTCACCAGTGTTGAATGAATGTACGCAGGATTTTATCCCAAAACAATTAAAACCAATTTCGAGGGTATGAAAACAATTAGATTGTATCCACCTGTTTTTTTTATGTGAAAATGTGGAATTTCACCAACAACTGAAGAAAACATGTGGTCAACACACATACCAAATTTTATTTATTTGTTTATTTAGAATTGTTCTTGTGCAAAGGCAAATATATTAGACAGCTTGTTTAAAGAATGCACCCTGGATAGTGATATTTGTAGATTCACATGCTGATACAATTTGTAGATTCACATGCTGATACAACTACTCATGTTACAAAGTCTTGCTACATGGAAGTTGCCGAATACTTTTTCTGCAATGCAGCTCGAAAATACTGATTCAGACATACTCCGATGAGTAAAATATTTCTACGGCCTGGATTGTTAAATGTATTTCTGTAATCGAAACCCGCATTGTACCTTACTCATATTCAGAAAATAGAAGCGCGTCACTCTCGAATGTACATTATGCAGGGCTCCTTCCTATGCTGGCCTTGAACCCCGAGGACAAACAACGCTGACTTTCCACAATTTAGTAATCACTGTGTTCTATTGAGCTGGGAAGATTGATGGCTCCGATGTATGTATACAATGCACATGCAAATGCATTACCGTACACACACCGAATAAATGAAAATGGATAATCGTCAAACTAAGCGCGTTCCAGGCACATGCCGGTAATCGAGAGATTTGACGATGGGTTCGCGAATCGCCGGCACTTGGCTGCCAGACACCAAGGTGTCTCTACGGGGCACTGCTGCCAGTAGGATTGTGACCCTTCTGTGTGCGGTGGCTAACCGCTATCCCCTCGCGAGTGTCGGTTTTATTTGGGCAATTTGGTTTCCTCCTAGATGTAGCTCTAAATAATATTTGCTATAACATGCAATAGAACCATCGTCAACACGTATATCGTTTAGACCTTTCGTTGTAAACAAAGGTATCTATTACCAAAAGGAAACTATTTTTTATTATACCAGGTAAGTCCCACTGAGCTGTATAGCTCTTTTTCAGAAGCGACCTGGCCACAAACAATATGTTCAACGAAGGGGCTTGTCATGTGGAAATGTATAGCAGCCAAATACTCTAAATGCATGTTTATACATGTGGAGGGAAAAACCAGAGGACCTGGATAAAAGTCCACGCGACCACGGGGAGAGCATGCAAACTCCGAATATATAAGCGTCAGGGTTGGGATCAAACCCACGAACGATCTCTTGTATATCCGGCAAGGTAGTTAACATCTCGCCACCATGGCGCCCCTCGAATATTGTAAGCTATATTTTGGAATTCTTGATTTATTCACATACATTATAAATAAGTTATCTAACATACTTGTGAATAATCCATTGACATGATCTAAGCATATTCAGCTCATATTTATATCGTACCATGTTTTTTTTTTCATGGCTGTTGTATATTTTAATTATATTCCCTAGTTACGTTCATTTCTCCCTGTGAGAATAAAAATGGGAGCATATTGCGAGCTGATGAAAGTGTGTGATGTGTGACATGTAATGTGAAGAAATCACCCGCTGATATTGAAACTGTGGGTGGGAGATGGGAGGCGGCAGAGCAGGGAAACGAAAGGGTAGGATTGATAGGCAGGGCCAGTGAGAGGTTATGCTTGAAAGCAGTGCCTCTCTGGCTTCTGCGTGCAGTTGTCCCCATTCTTCCATCCCTGCCAGCCATTAGTTAAGTTGTTTTGTGTGGTATTTCTATCTCCAGTGACACCATCAAAGTTACTGCGAAAGGAACACTCGGCGTTTGCCTTGGTCCGCGGCACTGATTTGAACTCAAAATGTCAGCAGTGCTGGCTCGATATGCCCCCTTGCCTTTTAGGACTACAATAAAGTCCATTGCTTATCCAGGAAAGCTTCACATAGTGGCTGCTTTTTCAATGTTTGGCCAATACTCCATTTTTGGGCACCGTGTGTGTTCGTGGAACGAAACCAAGTATCCAGATAACGTGCGTGTGTAGTGCTTCAATCACAACCGAAAACACTCACCGGACGTTATGGACACAGGCGTGCATGACACGTACAGTCAAGACGTAAAACAAGGCCCTCTGATTTGTACTTAACGGACCTGAAAGGTAATTGGTTAGATGCAGGGAATTGAATGGATTATAGTAATAGGTTTTTACCCTTTTATCTGGCACCAAAACTGACACCTTTATCAAGGGATCATTTGGTGCCAGAGAAAACTGTAAAAACATTTTACTATATCTTGCTACTGGCAAAGGAGTTCTCATAATTTAAGGGATTGTGGAGGAGAAATACAACACGGATAAGAGTGGGGAACGGAGGATGATTGATAGGGAGGACGGTTGGAATCCGTTCGGAAAAATGGAAGGTGATTGGCTGGAGTGAAAAGCGGGACAAGGAACCTTTGGGAAAGGAGCTTGAGGGATATGTAAAGTGGAAGCGAGGGCGTTCAGGATGCTTGGAGAAAAGGGGATCTTTCCCTTTGAAGAGTACCGTGTAAGGTGTCACTACAGATGTATACGAGGGAATAACATTGAGAAAATGTATTCAA